TGTGAAACAGGGCTGAGAGGTCGAGACCCCACTGAGTCCCTCAAGACCCCGAGAGAAAAGCTGCCCCAGAGAGTGTCCTACATACAGACGGAAAGAAGAGTGCGTGTGTTTGTGTGTGTGCTTGTTTCGCACCTAATGTTTAGAGAATGGGCGACAGCAATTCCCCGTCTTCACTCAAAGCGTTCTATAATCACGCTCCAACTCCACTCTGGGTTTTCCATTTCTCGTTTGCATTTGTTTGTTGGGTTTTTCTTCCATATCTGGCTGCCAGATTCTAGATTTTTCTTCTAGATTTGTATGATTTTATGAGTATTTTTGAATAGAATATTGTATTACGCTAACTTAACACGATAAAGTATTAAGCATTAAAAGGTATCATTGTTTTGGTCCGAACCAGCCGATTTTTCTTAATTTCTTGACACATCTTTTTACTCTTTTTAAATTCTACAATACATTATTACTTTCAGTCATGAATTTTCAGAAAAAAAAGAAGCTGTTGTTTTTATCTTTCTGATTGTGATTCTGAAGTGTCATTTTTGGTAAAGTTTGATTCGTTTTTTTGTTTTTCTGATTAAACTTGTCATTTCCATCTTTCTTCCACACTGCTAATAGTCTTAAAACACTGCTGCCTTACAGTCTGTTAACACATTGTGCCTGTGTAGCAGAGTGAGAACATTCTGACTTTCCGTATTAAATTCCCTCCTCGCTCCAGGCAAAATCACACAGATCCCCTCCATGTTCGTTTTCACTTCACGTCACCACACAGGAAGGTTTCATCTTGTTAGATTTATACTTAGCTAGGGGGTCTACATCCAGGAGGGCATCCCCTATTTCTCTCTCTCTCTCTCTCTCTCTCTCGCTCTTTTATCTTCCTCTCTCTTCTTCTGTAGTAAGGTATTTGACCTGGTGGTATGCTCCAGTGGTCCAGAACACTCCTGATGAGAGGTTTCTCTGCTTCCTTCACCTGCCTTTCCGTCACTCTCCCCTCAGACCGAGGCCTAAATAGCCAATCAATACGGCCACCACAGCTGTTCCTACATCCTTATGTTTACCTCGCATGGCAGCCTCACCACGCAAGCGGCCCCTGAAGTAATCAGCTCCCTCCTCTCTGTGTCTGAATAAGAGACCGAACGTTGAAAAACAGACACATCCTAAATGGACCGTGTCATTGTGCATGCATGAACGCACTGGGAGACGAGAGCGAGCAAATACAATCAAGAGCCCTAGCTGTGGCTAGAGCCGTCAAAGAAACTTGTCAAGTCGTCAAAGCCCCCCGGAGCCTGTTGATCGGTCGCTCCAATCATCCCCATCGCTGATTCTTGCCTCTCCTGATGTCTAAGTGATTCTATTTCTTTCCACCTGAGTCTCCTAGCTGGGTGTCCATCTGATCAAATAAACCAATCGACGCACCCCATAGCCAATGAGCTGGCTAAGCACCCACACAGACCATCATCTGCAAGAGCCAAGACACAAACGTCCATTCCAGTATGGCATGTTCCACAACGCCACAAAATCTGCTGGAGCTGCTGTTACTGGCGGTGGAAGGGAAAAAAAGCAACATGGTCATTTCTCCAGTGGAGTGCTTGTTCCTCCATTAGCTGCCTTAATTGAGTAGACTGTTATATTTCAGGACCTTATTAAATCGGAAGCAGGCCAGAGAGTATTACGTGAGAGAAAATTGATTTTGGCGCCGTGCTGCTCATCTACTTTGGCCGTCTGTACACAAACCCATTCCTCCAATTATTGTTTATGGCTTGCCTCTTTGTCTTTGCTCTCTTGCTCATTCTCGTTCATTCTCCTCTCCGCTTTCTGCTTTTAGCCATCCATAATATTTTGGCTCTGCTTAGTTTAGATCACACAGAACCCAGCACTTTGCACTTTTCATCCTTGTTAAATGCTGACCATGAGGTTTCCACCAGATACTCTGCACTTGGTGGTCACATTATTATTTCATTTTAATTGGAGAAAAAATCTGCCTGATATATCAGTATGTATTTGTAGGTCAATCCATCTGTTGTTTTATTGTTTAGTCTCTGATGAAAGATGATATTAAGACTTCATATCAAATCCTTCCTTTTATTTATTTTTTTAACTCCTCCTACAGATTCAATATATTCTTCAAAGAATTTTACTCAGATGATCAGAGTTGGAAAAAAATATAGCTTTTTTTAATATTTGAAATTGTTCCATAGAGATGGTTTCATGAAGTGAATAGTGAAGATGCCAATCTGACTGTTTTTGGCAATGGTTTGGTATATTGAAACATGACCCAGTAAAATCATTTCTTTGATGGATTAAGGGAGTAATTTTGGCACAGCAACTCAAAAGTTTTGGGTTAGTAATTAAAGAAATTAATACTTTTATTCATCAAGGATGCATTAAATTGATCAACACAACAGTGAAGGCATTGTATTTGATACAAAAATATTTCTATTTCAAATAAATGCTGTTGTTTTGAACTTTATAATCATTATATAATCCTGAATGTATCATGGTTTCCACAAAAAATATTAAGCTTTCAACATAATAATTAATGTTTCTTCAGCTGCAATATTAGATTTATTTCTGAAGGATCATGTGGCACTGTAAACTGGAGTAATGGCTGCTGAAATTTCAGCTTTGACATAATGAAAATAAATCATATTTTTAAATATATTAATATAGAAAAGAGATCACTAAAATTGTAATAATTTTATTACTGTATAGTCATTATATAATCCTGAATGTATCATGGTTTCCACAAAAATATTAAGCTTTCAACATAATAATGAATGTTTCTTCATCAGCAATATTAGATTTATTTCTAAATGATCACATGACACCGAAAACTGGAGTAATGGCTGCTGAAAATTCGGCTTTGACGTAATGAAAATAAATAATATTTTAAAATATTAATATAGAAAAGAGTTCACTAAAATTGTAATCAAATTTTATTTCTGTATTTTTAATCAAGTAAATAAAGCCTTGCATAAGAGACTTCAAAAACTCCCAAACTTTTCAACAGTAGTCTATGTAGGTCTATTTTTGGTAATAGTTTTGCCTAAATCCGTGAGACTAGTCTTTTTAGATTTCTTGGGGCACATTGATTCAAATGATACCCGTTATTCCTACATCATCTAAATTAGGCTTGTCTATGCTTTTTTAGTTTATACAAACAATTCAAAGAGGACAATTGGAGTCACGCCTCTTAGTAAACACAGTTGTCAATTTCACTGACTTTGTAAAGGCCACCCATGATGAATAAATGAGGCCTGTCACCCGCACCACTACCACCAATGACGGATGAAATGTCTGCCCATAGATCATCTCAGCTTTACCCCCCATGCTCAAAATACTGAATAAATAAATCCACCACAAATCCTCTCTCAACCCAGGGCTCTCTGTTGTCTGTGCAGTGTGCAAGTGCAGTATATGCATAACCATAATCCCAAAACATGCTGTCATTCCAGCCCTTGCATTACCATATTTCATCCCACATGCTCTATTAAAAGATTGCACTACTTACACCAACAGACACTTTGTACCGCTTCATGTCTGCTTTAGCCAAGTCTCGGGATTCAAACGCCACTGAACAACTGGAGAGATCCATTAAATCCATCAGTATCCCCTCTCAAACCCCATTGGCAGGCTTAAGCCCTGTAAGTACATGTGATATAATGACTGAAATGCAAGTTTTGGAAGCACAGTAAGCATTAATGAAAATAGCACAATGAGGATAACAGCAACTCATCTGCATGTTTGGTTGACATCTGCTTAACTGCAATCCTCTCTCACTTTGATCTGCCTTGAATTGACCACTAAATCTCACTTTTCACATAAGTGATTTTGACTGGACAGTGAGCCTGATCGTGTCTGTGAGCAGAATTCAGCTTCCAGTTTATGTCTGATTCTACCATCAGGGACTGTTTGCAGATGTAGATTATGATTCAGCTTTCAAAACACAGAAGCCTGGGGAGATGCATGAAAGTAAAATGAGCTTATTGATATATGCTATGATGGTTCCATGTGTAATATTCTCTGCTTCTGTACAGTGATGTGCAGGAGGGATACCCACTGGATCCTGTCACAATACACACAAACCGTCTGACAACTGACATATTGTAACATTAGTACAGTCTATCTATCTATCTATATATATATATACTGTATATATATATATATATATTAATATAAATGTTGTCTTTTTTAATATATTTTAAAATGTAATTTATTTCTGTGGTGGCAAAGCTATCTATCGGTCATCTCTGTAAGGTCTATAAACCTTCAAACTTCAAGGATTAAACAACATTTTTCAAGGTTTGACAAGTTTTGCTGATTAAAAATAGTTATATGAGTTGCTTTGAATTCTATTTATTTTAATTCTACTCCTTTACATTCAAATGGCAATTCCACAACCTGTTTGCTACCTCAATTCAAATTCAGTTCAAATTCAACTGAATTATGGTTTTAATTGGAAATCAATGACAAGTAAACAGATGTTGCCAAGATGAGGCTGACATAAAATATAACCAAGTGGAATATGAGAGTTTTTACACTATTTATGACCATGTAAGCAGCGTTATTCTGGCACAGACTCTCTGTCTGTGCACTGTTGGTTTTGTGTTTGAAGTTGCACAACGTATTGTGAGTCATGTACATATGATAAACATTGACCCGCTGACTAGTCAACTACTTTCCTGTACCAGTTTGCTGATAATAGTAGTCATGCAAGCCCTAGAGTATCCACCTACTCATCAATATAGATTATTGATTTATTCAATATAACCCAAAGCCATTTGCAAGTGAGAAATAATATAACACAAGTGATTCATCATAAGAATTTTATTAAATACATTTATATTAAGTGACTGTTCCATCCTGAGTTTCTCCAGGGGTTATTTGACCTTAATTTGTGGTCTTTCCTGCAGACTGTCCTTCAGGTTCTATTAAGACTTTGTCTAAAAAATGCAGTATGAATTCTAAGAAATGGCTGAGCATGTTGGTCTTTCTGCTTCCCGCAGGTCTCCTGTGATGGCCGGAGGCTTGTTTGCTGTAAACCGACAGTGGTTCTGGGAACTGGGAGGATATGACACAGGCCTTGAGATCTGGGGTGGTGAGCAGTTCGAAATATCCTTCAAGGTGAGTTAAAGCATCTGGGTCGATTGCGCTATGCAATTCGCAAATAATACATCAATTCTCACAGACCTTACAAAGGCTTCTTCCTGTTGTTGGCCTTTTAGACCAAAATAATCAAACAGAGCACAAGAAGACCCATTAAAATGGATTTCAAGACACACCAATAGCTCCTGATCCATTGCAAATAAAATCCATTGATAACTATACCAGATTCCTTTTCTCACACTTAATGTGAAGCGCTCTGTCTGTCTGTCTAGACAATCTTTTCTCATTCTTTTCAACATTAAAGCCCGAATGAGATTGGACGGCAAAGGTTATTTTCTTCAATGTGTTACTAAGCGAAGCCTCAAAGCCAAAAGCGCACTAGTCGGCCAAAATAAGGCGGTGAAGATAGCGGAGCTGTGAGTCTGTGCGTGTGTGTTTTTGTGTTTAGACTGACTAGACTGCTGAAACTAATTAGATTGTGTGATCTAGTGATTGGCCGTGGCTCTGAAGTGATTCGGTTTTGATTAGCGGGGCCAAAACTGGCGCAGATGGATGTGAGGAAGTGTTCTATTTATCAGTTCTGACATACCTGCCACCCCACTCTTTTTCATTAGACTCTCACTTGTGTTGGCACTGAACTTTGTTATTGGAACACCATCCTCTACGCCTCTCTAGTAACTATGGCAACTGCAAAAATAGTTTAGAGGCTAAACCGGCTGTTTGACATGTTTTTTTATTGTTATCTACTTTTATGCACAGTATTTGCCTGTTTCTATGTGTCATAAAGTTGTACCGTTCACATTTGACCTTGAAATATGGTCGTAAAATACTAATTTTAAAACTACGGTATACTTCGGTCTCCATTCGGATCCGACATGCAACTACAAACTGAAATAAAAGCCGCGGCTGATTGGGCCTGGCGTCATCCCATTGATTGGTTGCCTGCCACGCTCCGTCCAAGTTTCATCCATCTGTTTGATGTAGGCAGCTTTCTAAATGCAATTCAAGTCATCTTAATATCTAAAGTCCTGCCATCGCTGCCTCCCTTCACGCTTTATCATAAAAGAGGCTGTGAATTTTTTTTTAAAATTATTCCTAAAACTTAATTTGTTACATGGCTTCCTCGTTTATCCTCAAATGATGGATCGGCAGGGGCTTTTTCTTGCTCGCTTTGTAGCACTGATGTTTCGAACTATTCTCTCCCTATAACGATGGGGTCCGTGAAGTTAGCTTGACCGCTAACCTTCCGCCTGGCAGGAGAGATAGGTCTGTGCGGTTTGATATCTGCAGACAGCTCTCTCGAGCCCAGCGGGTGACCGAGGAAGAGAGAAACCATCAGACTCAACTCGTCCAAGTAGAAGCCCCCCTCCCCCCTGCCTTCTCACCTCCCTCTGTGTGTCAGTGGCCCTGGCAAGTCCACACTCCACCATGCCTGAGCCAATACTCGATACAGACAGGCACATCAAAGCCTTGGCCTTAGTAGAACAGAAAGAGCGAGATGGGAAGGGAAGCATATTGAGCGCCCCGCTTTCTTTATCTCTCTTTTCTTGTGGTTTAAAGAGGAAAAGTAGAGACACAAGTATGAGGCAGTTGGAAAACTGTAGTTCTTTCCTTCAGCGGATGCCAGTCGATCCGTAATTGGAGCCCACAGCGAGGACGTTGCTTGTTGCTGGTATGATGTGGAAGCGTAGCAATATTTCTAGCTAGTCTGTCCACATATTCCCACTGAGACCTTCTCAGACTGCCTGTGCAGGAGCTCACAAGGATGTGATGCATGAGGCTTTTTGAGCTTTTTCAACTGTCTGAGAGAATGAAGGATGGAGACAACTCTGCATGTACTGTGATGTAGTATAAATGTTTCAGAATGTGTGTGCGTATGTGGTTTTTCAGGTGTGGATGTGCGGAGGCGGCATGTATGATGTACCTTGTTCGAGGGTGGGCCACATCTACAGGAAGTACGTCCCCTACAAGGTGCCTTCAGGGACCAGCCTGGCAAGAGTGAGTAGAACTTCCACTATCCTTCCAAATGAGAAAGGATAGAGTGTTTCTCTACAGTGGCCCAATTCTGCTAGTTTATAGTGCTCTAGATTCACAATGTTCCTGAGAAGATCTTATTCATATTCTGCACACATGATAAGAGACAAATAGTACGGAGAGTACGGGTAGCACTCAGCTCTTGACAGTGTACATATATACAGTGCCGTGAAAAGGTTTTTGCCCCCTTCCTGATTTTTTTATTTTTTATTATTTGCATATTTGTCACACTTAAAAGATTCAGATCATCAAACTAATTTTTATATTACACAGAGATAATTTAAGTAAGTACAAAATTAAGTTTTTAAATGATGATTTCCTTTATTAAGGGAAAAAAAGCTGTCCAAACCTACCTGGCCCTACGTGAAAAATTAATTGCCCCCTCCTGATAAATCATTAAAGAACTGTGATTAACCACATTATTTTAGAAAGCTGAGTTAAATTTCACTATCCACACCCAGGTCTGATTACTGCCAGACCTGTTGAATCAAGAAATAACTTAAATAGAACCTGTCTGACAAAGTGAAGCATGCTTAAATAGCAACACATCATGCCGTGATCTAAAGAAATTCAAGAACAGATGAGAAACAAAATAGTTGACATGTATCAGTCTGGAAAGGGTTATGAAGCCATTTCTAAGGCTTTGGGACTCCAGCGAACCACGGACAGAGCCATTATCCCCAAATGGAGAAAACTTGGAACAGTGGCGAACCTTCCTAGGAGTGGCCGGCCTACCAAAATTACTCCAAGAGAGCCACGACGACTCATCCAAGAGGTCATAAAAGAACCCAGAACAACATCTAAAGAACTGCACTTGCCTCAATTAAGGTCAGTGTTCCTGATTCAACAATAATAAAGAGACTGGGCAAAAACAGCATCCATGGGAGAGTTTCAAGGCAAAAGCCATTGCTGGCCAAAAAGAACACAAAGGCTTGTCTCACATTTGCCAAAAATATCTTGATTATCGCCAAGACTTTTGACCAAATATTCTGTAGACTGATGTGACAAAAGTTGAACTTTTTGGAAGGTGTGTGTCCCGTTATATCTGGCATAAAACCAACACAGCATTTCATAAAAAGAACATCATACCAACAGTCAAACATGGTGGTGGTAGTGTGATGGTCTGGGGCTGCTTTGTAGCTTCAGAACCTGGACGACTTGCCATAATTGATGGAACCATGAATTCTGCACTCTATCAGAAAATCCTGAAGGAGAATGTCCGGCCGTCAGTTTGTGACCTCAAGCTCAAGCGCACGTGGGTTATGCAGCAGGACAATGATCCCAAACACACCAGCAAGTCCACCTCTGAATGTCTCAAGAAAAACAAAATTAAGGTTTTGGAGTGGCCAATCAAAATCCGGACTTTAATCCGACTGAGATGCTGTGGCATGACCTTAAACCGTCCATTCATGCTAAAAAAAAACTCCAATGTGGCTGAATTAAAACAATTCTGCAAAGAAGAGTGGGCCAAAATTCCTCCACAGCGATGTGAAAGACTCATTGCCAGTTATTGATTGCAGTTGTTGCTGCAAAGGGTAGCACAACCAGTTATTAGATTTAGGGGGCAATTAGTTTTTCACGTAGTGCCAGTCAGGTTTGGACAGCTTTTTTCCCTTTCCCTTAATAATTGAATTAATCATTTCAAAACTGCATTTTGTATTTACTTTGGTTATCTTTGTGTAATATTAAAATGTGTTTGATGATCTGAATCATCTGAAGTGTGACAAATGTGCAAAAAAACAAAAACAGGAACAAAAACTTTCACACCACTGTATATACTCTTTACAGTTTTCTATATTTCTGCATAAATGTGACCCAAAACATCATCAGATTTTCTCACAAGTCCTGAAAGTAGACAAAGAGAACCCAAACAAACAAATGATACAAAAATATTTTCTTTGTAATTTATTTATAGAGAAAAATTATCCATTGTTACATATCTGTGAGTGGCAGAAGTATGTGAATCTTTGATTTTGGTATCTGTTGTGGCCCTATTTTGCAGAAATAACTGCAGCTAAATGTTTATTGTAACTGCTGATCAGTCCTGTACAACATTTTCTAGGAGTCTTATCCCATTCCTCAGTACAAATCCGCTTCAACTCTGTGATATTGGTGGATTTCCTTCTTTGAATTGCTTGCTTCAGGTCCTTCCACAACATTTAAATTGGATTCAGGTCTGTACTTTGCCTTGGCCATTCCAAAACATTAACTTTGTTCTTCTTTAACCATTCTTTGGTAAAACGAATTGTAGGCTTAGGGTTGTTGTCTTGTATGACCCATTTTCTCTTGAGACTCAGTTCACATACAGATGAACTGACATTTTCCTTTAGAATTTGCTGGTATAATTCAGATTTCATTGTTCCATCAATGACAGCAAGCCATCCTGACCAAGATACAGCAAAACAGGCCCAAACCATGATACTACTACTGCCATGTTTCATTAATGGGTTTCTTTGCTGGAATGCAGTGTGTTATTTTCTCCAAACATAACACTTCTCATTTAAAACAAAAAGTTATATTTTGGTCTCATCTGTCCACAAAACCCTTCTCCAGTAGCACTCTGGCTTGTCTAGGGCTGGACCAGAATATTAGATTATTCAAATATTCGTTCAGTGGGTTGGCATTCGATTTTCAATTTTTAGATTCGAATATTCTTTCTTTTTTTTTTGAACACCTGGCATCCCCCGTGAAACGGTTCTCATTCGCGCTTGAATATGAATCGCCCATGAGTGAACGTCATGAACATCATTATTCAGTTTATCTGGAAGAGAAGACAAAAATGCAGAAAACCTCAGCTGTGTGCAGGGAGCACTTTAAATTGAGTGAGGACAAGACAAAGGCAGTGTGCCAAATATGCAATTTGAAACTGGCCTACCACAACAGCACATCAAGTTTGAAAAATCTGTAAAAGTTCTGTAAGTAGTACGCCTATAGTATATTGTTGGAGTAAAAAAACGAGCTGCTTTTCAGTAATTTTACACATGATAAAAATGTGCACTTAATTTGCTTGGAAAATACTTGCGAATACGGCAGTCATAAAAAAACGTACAGTAGCCCAGCCTAATAATAATTTGTCTATATTAAAAGTATTGCTCTTCACAGACCTTTGTGTTTTGTATCACTAGTGCAGTGTCCGTTCTCTGAGCATATAAGCCCTGCCCGTGTGAGGTGCACCGCTTCCGGTGTTCTGACGATTTGTGCTATCCGCTCAGATTGTGCTACCTCCCATTAAAAAGATAGGTAGCAAAAATCGATAGCGAAAAATGCTACCTATCAGATTCTGCTACCAGCATCTTATTCATGTGGTTTGAGGCTTTTTTTAATGTCCATACCTACCCATCCATACCTACCCTTACCCTAAACTTACCCTTAAAACAATGCAAATATATTTTTGGTAGCACAATCTGATAGGTAGCATCAGGGCCGGATTTACCTCTTTTCGTGACATAGGCAAAACAAATTTTTGGGGCCCCCTTCCCTATTAATATAATAGGCCTAATATTACCACCCAAGCAAACAAAAATATTTCTTAATCAGTGAAACCGTTACAGTGTTTTCTATCACAATAAGCGCTTGCGTTCAGTCAATAAAAATCGAATGTAGTTCTTAATTTGTTTGAGAACTGAGAAAGACCATTCCATTATTAGGTGTGGCGACGTAGCCACATGACCACTTTGGGAGTGCATTATTTCTCTAATAATTTTAACAGCCTGTGGAGTCACAATCACACATCAATTGTTCAGATGATTTGTTTCAAGACATTTGACATGTTTCTGTCCTGAAATCTCGTGTGTGTTGAACTAGCTAATTATTAATGCACCTCATCCCAAACCTTCCGTTGCAAATTCCAAACCATCATTTTAGAGCTAATAACACAGGCTTGGGCTATTGATATGCAGGCTAACGCAGTTATTAGAGAGAGAGCGCGAAAGAGAGAGAGGGAGAGGGAGAAATGCATGTGCGTCTCTTAGCAGTGTTCAGCAGCAGCGTCTACTAATAGCGAATCTTCAATTTGAACTGCTTCAAGAACTTTTCTACTGAGAAATGTCATGTAGCTTTTCAGCTGCGCAACTATTTTATTGATAAATTTGCGGGGCAGCACTGATGACAAGTTTCTGTTTGTGTCTCCGCGTGTGTGCGCGAGTGCGTGTCCGTACTGTGCGTGCGTCTGTGAGAGAGAACGGGAGAAAGAAAGTGTGATTTCCGTATATAAAATGGTGGAAGACATGGAAATGGTTTGTCATTTTTACCCTATTGTTTGTTATATTTATTTGCTCAATGTCTTCTGGGGTTTTAGTTCTTTTACTGTTGTAGATATCCCATAGTATAACAAAAATATTATATATCTCTTAGTTGTGTTTGGGCCCCCTCTGGACGAGCAAGCATAGGCACGTGCCTAGAATGCCTATGCGTAAATCCGGCCCTGGGTAGCATGTTTCGTCGGTACACCCGGCTCGCACTGTTCTGTAGGTTATTAAAAGTTTATTCATTCTGAACGTGTTGCGTGTCCATATTGCACCAAAATGCGACACTGCACTCCCTTGGGTCCGCAGCAACACACCTGCCACGCGTGAAGTCGACTGGATGAACGGTTCTCGACATAATAAAAATGCAAACAGACAGACAGACACACAGAGATTCCTGCCTTTATTAGAGAGAAGAATATGTTCAGCCCCCTCCCTCCGAAGCTTCGAATATTCGGTGTTGATTACTACAGAAGCTTCGAAGCTCAAAAAATGGTATTCGGACCAGCCCTAGGCTTGTCCACATGATTTTTAACAAACTGCAGATGGGCAAAAAATTTTGTTTTGGAGAGCAGTAGCTTTCTTCTTACAACTCTGCCATGCACACCATGGTTGTTCCGTGTTCAGTGGTGGACTCATGAACATTAACATTAGCCAATGTGAGAAAGGCCATCAGTTGCTTAGAAGTTACACTGGTGTCCTTTGCGGCCTTGTGGACTATTACAAGTCTTGCTTTTGGAGTGATCTTTGTTGGTCGACCATCTGTCTGTCTGTGAATTTGTGGAGTTTAAACTCTTTAGAAATGGTTTTGTAACATTTTCCAGCCTGATGAGCAACAACAACTCTTTTTCTGAGGTCCTCAGAGATCTCCTTTGTTTGTGCCATGATTCACTTCCACAAACATGATCAGACTTTAATAGATCCCTGTTCTTTATATAAAACAGGGCTGGCACTGGCACCTGATAGTCATTCCACGGAATGAAAACACCTCTGAACAGATGGACTCTAATTTTAACCTTCAAATTAACAGCTAATGCTAGAGATTCACATACTTTTGCAATGCACAGATATGTAGCACTGTTCAAATGAAAATCACATATTTCCCTCAATTCATCTCATAGAACCTGAAGCGAGTGGCAGAGACATGGATGGATGAGTACACAGAGTACATCTATCAGCGCCGGCCCGAGTACCGCCACCTCTCCACCGGTGACCTGACCGCTCAGAAAGAGCTCCGCAAACACCTCAAATGTAAAGACTTCAAATGGTATATGAACACTGTGGCCTGGGACCTGCCCAAATATTACCCACCTGTGGAGCCACTGCCAGCTGCCTGGGGAGAGGTGGGTGATCAAAGACCCTGTTAAAATGTGCACATGCATGCCTGGATTGAGCAAAATGCAGAATTTAATAACAGGCTTTCAATCATTCTATTCATGATTTGGAATTTGAATTGGATTAGCTACATAAAGATGCTAAAATGGAACTTGAAAGGGAATGAATGTAAGTGGCTGTGAATTTTAAAGAAATCAGTACAGTTACACAACAGAGCAATTTGAATAAAACAAATTTTTGTGTATATAGTAATAGTGGTGTATATGAAGGACGGATGGACGGACGGACGGACGGATAGATAGATAGATAGATAGATAGATAGATAGATAGATAGATAGATAGAGCGAACAGTAAATATTCTGGTCTGATCTGTACAGTTTTGACACACTGCTGCCTTTTTTGTTACACCTCGTTTCTCTTTGTTCACCCATTAGTGGGTGCATAACTTTTCCCCGCTTGCTTGGTTTGAGTTACGCACTAAAAAGGACAGTCGTGAATACATATTAGGTGAGACAGAGCATAGATGCCAGTACAGGTATAGGCATGTGTGTGTGCATATGACATAGAGTTTGTGGAAATGTTCATTGATTTATGAGAAGCACTGCCTGGTGAGATATAACATATTTTTCACCAAAGACAAGCAGGCGGCCGATCCTCACCTAAACCTGCGCTGTCTAATATACAGCGACATCACATCATAACCATTGTTTGCATCACTGCTTCCTAATCCATAAATAAACAGAAGATGCGTAATACATTTATTACTCAAGCTGATACGGGAAGACAGGCTATTCAGGTCATTCATTATCATCTGGGTTTCCTGTGCCAGAACAGCGGTTCTCGGGAACACGTGTGGAGAGACGGGCCTGCCATTTCTCTCCATCTGCAGTTCTGCCATGTCTGTTATAGTGGGGGGTATTTAATATGCATGGACTGATTCCCATCTTGTGCATTTTGATGGGCCTTTTTAATCACTGCTGAATGGTGAACCTTACAGACATCATGCCTTAATGAATCCCCCCGGGGAACACCATCTCCTCTTTTTTCAATCCCCTGCCGTGATGTGTCAGAAATGGCAAGTAATAATTTACAAATGTAATTAATTTCCCATCCGAATTAATTGGAGGGCTGATGCTTACCGTAAAGCGTATCCATCCATCCGAACTACACATACAGGCTGAGGTAGTAATGGAATCTGTTTCAAATGTTTCAGTGGAGGCGGCCCAAAAAAGTCAATTTGCCAACAACATGCCGTCCGTTTCACTTATTGGCTCTCTCTGCATTAGCAACGTAAATTGATAGTAAAAAGGAAAGGCTGTGTGGCGTGCGGCTGGGGATCCTGCTCGGGGGAAATTTATGCATGGTAAATATCTCCTTTCCTGAGGCGAAATGATAGTAATTTGACTGTCAGGCTGATAGCTTCATACGCCACGCTCTCTAGCTGGTCTGCCAGCGCGGCCACCTGTCCCCCTGCCTGATGTATTGCACAATAAAAGAGCCTCATTGGACTTTCGAAGCCACCCCCACGGGCCATGACAGAGAGAGGGGGGGGGGTATAGCTAAGGAATGAAATGGGCCCTTGTCGGCATTTTCAGCAAAGGACAGGGGTCACCGTCGGCATGACCTCCAGCTGACAGGGCAGTGAAATGGGTAAGCAAGCTGTCAACCATATGCCACTCGGCCACCTGCACGTGTATATACTCTCTCTCGCTCATCCACAGCTATTTCATTGCCTCTTTAATACACTCACATACTTTAAATAATGCAATCAGCAGACTTTTCAGCCACTTCTATGCTCATAGCCATTGCTGCCAAAAGCTGGTATAGTGTAAATGCAGTTGTTAGGTTTCCTGTGGCTTGAGAGGAGGAAGAGAGGAGAGACCCATGCTGATTTGGTCTGATTCTGCTGCATTTACCTCTAAAGAGCTTGTGATTACACGCGCTCTTCTAGTGTAACCTCATATGCTTTAATTTATATTTATAGTTTATTTTGTGGTATAAAAATTCTAAAACAAATTTTATTTCTTTTGTGCTCCGCAAAAAAAAGTGATATGCCGTAAACAGGTTGTAGGCGCTGATGATTTGACTTGAGCAGCACTTAAAATGATGCAAGAGGAAATGTTTGCCCCAGGCCCTGGTCCCCTCATGTCTCCCTAGTGAGGTGAATAAGTGAGCAGAATTGGCCCAGAACTGCTGCCCGCTCTTCTGTGTCTGCTCAGGAGGCAGTGGCTCCAGCCACTTATGCATTATTGAGCTGCACTGTGACAATAGTCAGTACACCTGAATGCCTTAAAGAAAATTAGGCGACCTGGACAGCCAATCAAAAAATGAAAAAAGAGACCAATTTAAGGACAAGGGGCAGCGGAACTCTCTGGAGTTCACGCAGTGGGGAAAGTGCACATGTCTTTGTGAACAGGTGTATTTTGAATGAATCATTATTTAAATAGCACTTGAAAAGTTTGGAGACCAGGGGTCGCATTGTACCTCGCTGCACAATTAGGGAAGAAGTGGAACTTTTGGCTAACTGTTACCTTGAATCCACATCTGAGAGCACTGTAGAGGTGATTGTTATAGTCAGGAAGTACTTTTTTTCACATCTGAATGGTGTAAACCACATACTTCATGGGTAAATATTTAATAATAGAAAGAATTTGCAGATGCTTTTGACATTCTCAATTCTGCATCATTTTATACATTTTAATATTCACAGAACTGTCAAATCTCAAGCAACATTTCTTGATAGAGAATATTGATTGCATTTTGCTAATATATTATTTTTTCCAAGGCAAAATTTAGAAATGGTGTGAAAGTTGTTGAGTAAGAGTATTATATTATATTATAATGTAGTATAGCATAGTATAGTGAGGTTTTGTTGAAATTGCAATAAAGACCGAATTTTGTTAACATAAATAACTGGAATAGAAACTATTAACCAATAATGAGTAATTAAAAAAAAAAAAAAAATTGCATTATGTGCCATTGTTTTTAGCAAAAGCCGTTTCAAGGACTTAAATTATATATGGATAAATCAGTATTTCTGGCACATTTAAAAAATAAATTATAAATTAAAATACCTTTTTTGTGGTGGGCTGCTTAGTTAAAAATGCTGGCAGGGCAGAACATTCCTTATTGTTGAACCATGTATAATTTATTCATAACTGATAAATTATATAATAAACTTACAATATTTAACAACTGAAAAAAAAGTATTAGTATTGTGTATTTTATGCTTATTACTCTTCTCACGTCGCCTATACTGAAATTTTGTGTGTGGAGCGTTGTTTGTATGTGTGGAGTTCCTGGCTGTGTCCAAATCCATGTTTTCCATGACTGCTAGGATGCTACCTTCAAACACAGCTGCCTATGTAGAGAGTACAGGCAGTGAGGCAGCTCACTAGCTGAAACAGTGCTTTTGTGTGTATTACAGTACAGATTTGTCCTACAAACTTTTTGATCTCCAATTCCTTGTTGTGTGACCTTGCCCCAGGCCCTGGTCCCCTCATGTCTCCCTAGTGAGGTGAATAAGTGAGCAGAATTGGCCCAGAACTGCTGCCCGCTCTTCTGTGTCTGCTCAGGAGGCAGTGGCTCCAGCCACTTATGCATTATTGAGCTGCACTGTGACAATAGTCAGTACACCTGAATGCCTTAAAGAAAATTAGGTGACCTGGACAGCCAATCAAAAAATGAAAAAAGAGACCAATTTAAGGACAAGGGGCAGCGGAACTCTCTGGAGTTCACGCAGTGGGGAAAGTGCACATGTCTTTGTGAACAGGTGTATTTTGAATGAATCATTATTTAAATAGCACTTGAAAAGTTTGGAGACCAGGGGTCACATTGTACCTCGCTGCACAATTAGGGAAGAAGTGGAACTTTTGGCTAACTGTTACCTTGAATCCACATCTGAGAGCACTGTAGAGGTGATTGTTATAGTCAGGAAGTACTTTTTTATCACATCTGAATGGTGTAAACCACATACTTCATGGGTAAATATTTAATAATAGAAAGAATTTGCAGATGCTTTTGACATTCTCAATTCTGCATCATTTTATACATTTTAATATTCACAGAACTGTCAAATCTCAAGCAACATTTCTTGATAGAGAACATTGATTGCATTTTGCTAATATATTATTTTTTCCAAGGCAAAATTTAGAAATGGTGTGAAAGTTGTTGAGTAAGAGTATTATATTATATTATAATGTAGTATAGCATAGTATAGTGAGGTTTTGTTGAAATTGCAATAAAGACCGAATTTTGTTAACATGAATAACTGGAATAGAAACTATTAACCAATAATGAGTAATTAAAAAAAAAAAAAAAATTGCATTATGTGCCATTGTTTTTAGCAAAAGCCGTTTCAAGGACTTAAATTATATATGGATAAATCAGTATTTCTGGCACATTTAAAAAATAAATTATAAATTAAAATACCTTTTTTGTGGTGGGCTGCTTAGTTAAAAATGCTGGCAGGGCAGAACATTCCTTATTGTTGAACCATGTATAATTTATTCATAACTGATAAATTATATAATAAACTTACAATATTTAACAACTGAAAAAAAAGTATTAGTATTGTGTATTTTATGCTTATTACTCTTCTCACGTCGCCTATACTGAAATTTTGTGTGTGGAGCGTTGTTTGTATGTGTGGAGTTCCTGGCTGTGTCCAAATCCATGTTTTCCATGACTGCTAGGATGCTACCTTCAAACACAGCTGCCTATGTAGAGAGTACAGGCAGTGAGGCAGCTCACTAGCTGAAACAGTGCTTTTGTGTGTATTACAGTACAGATTTGTCCTACAAACTTTTTGATCTCCAATTCCTTGTTCTTGAACCTTGTTAGATACAATGACAATGCTAAGGCTAACCTTGTTAAATCCTTGTGCAATTGAAGGGTGGCATTCAACAAATCTATTTCTCTGTCCATAGATCCGTAATGCAGCGTCTGGTTTGTGCATCGACTCTAAACATGGCTCCACGGGCACCGAGCTACGTCTGGACACTTGTCTGAAAGAGGGCGCAGAGCGAACATGGGCACACGAGCAGGTATAAGGCTCCTAACTGATGATAGCATGACATGAAGCTCATTCTGTGATAGTCTCCTTGAAATTGAGAGAATCGCTGTTCCCTGTGGTGGTTAGATTTTCACATTTGGCTGGAGAGAGGACATCAGGCCTGGAGATCCCCTACACACCAGAAAATTCTGCTTCGATGCTATTAGTCAGAATAGCCCCATCACCCTGTATGACTGCCATGGTATGAAAGGCAACCAGCTCTGGAGCTACAGGAAGGTAATGTAGTCAAAAATGTGAACATAGCTACTCACTCATTGAAATAGCACAAATGTATGAGAATTATTGTACGTAGTGACTAAAAACATATTAGTTTTAACTTCTTTCAAGTAGCTTCTTCAAAACTTGCCTTTTCATAGATAACAGGTCTGGGGTCAAGGTTTTTTTAGTCAGTTTGACCCTGTAAGCCCCTGCTGTCGATGTGTTCTCTGATAAAATAACATCTTTTTCAAGCAACATGAATTGCAAAAATATAATTATAGTATATCAATAAAAAAAAAGTTTGAAAATGTTACTATATATGTAGGCATAAGACTTTAGATTTATAGAATTAACAAATTTCTTCTTCAAAACTTGCCTTTTCATAGATAACAGGTCTGGGGTCAAGGTTTTTTTAGTCAGTTTGACCCTGTAAGCCCCTGCTGTCGATGTGTTCTCTGATAAAATAACATCTTTTTCAAGCAACATGAATTGCAAAAATATAATTATAGTATATCAATAAAAAAAAAGTTTGAAAATGTTACTATATATGTAGCCATAAGACTTTAGATTTATAGAATTAACAAATTTTGAGAGAGAGAGAGAGAGAGAGTGTGTGTGTGTGTGTGTGTGTATATATATATATATATAAATAAAAGCAAAATTTAATTGTTCATGTCTTTAAAAAAGATAATATATCAGCAATTAGATGAATGCATAAGTCTTGAGATGAATATACATAACAATACTATTTTTTCAGAAAGGTTTTATAACTTTAGGAAAATGTATATATAAATGTATATGCCCTTTAAATATAAATAATTTTACATCTTTTAAGAAAAAGTAGTAGGCACAGTATTTGTCTGTAAGAACAATATAAATAATGGCAAGTGACGGAATACAAAAGCTTTTGACGTTATGGAGATAAAATCCATTACAGTCTACATGAGTAATGTTTTACACCCAGGTGTTACATTTTCATATAGCTTCATACATTTTCATATACCATCTCTAAGGAAAAGCCGCACCTGTCTTCCTCCATATTCCCTCTCCACATCTTCTTTAGGAGGTCAATAAAGTATATCTACAGCAACAGAGCAGCATACACCTTGTTACAGATGCCCCTGTGGACTAACGCCTGGCGCTCTGGGCCTATCACTAACGACAGAGCGAGCCTAATACAGAAGCTCAGTTTTTCTAGCCCTCTAGCGAGGTAGAACGAGCCTAAACTGAGATATTCTTTCTCATATAAGAGCTTTAAGGTGCCAAGCAAAGAAATCACTGTCATTGCAGGATAGGTCAATGACGGCGCTATAGAGAGAGGAAATATACAGTTGAAAGGAAGAGGTGGTACCTGGCAGTGGAGCAGCCTGAGGCGCAGAGAACAGTAAATCAACCCAAGGGAGAGCGGCACAGAACTAGAGCCGAAAGCCCGAAGGCATGTCCCTCCTCTGCTCAGCCTGATCACTCCCTCAGGGACACATCCTCTATTTTTTCACCGGCTCTGTTTGGCATACTCAGTAGTTTCTAGCGCAAAAATATACATGCCCAGTGTGCTGTGGAGAACACTTTCAAGTAGAAAGTTTCTTTGTTGTCTTCTACTTTTTGATAGGAGATTGATGTTGAAGCGTTCCCTCATTCTTTCCCTTTTATTTAACTTTCACATTCCTCTACCTCCCACCCCTCTCATCCTTCATTTATCAAATTCTCACATTTCACCTCCAAACTCAAGCCATGAAATGAAGTCAGCTTTTCTGATTAGCGGATTCTGTGTTGGGTTCTTCAGTTCTACCCCTGTAATCTGACTGAAGGCTAGTGGGAGATAAAGCAGGATTAGACCTCCAGCAGAGTCACGGTGACTGTGTTTCTTGTTTATTTATTTTTATTTCTCTCTCTTTCTCCATCCCATCTTCTTTTTGCTCCAGGATAAGTCTTTGTACCACCTGGTGAGCAACGGTTGCATGGACTGTAGCCTCGGCGATAAGCAGATTTTCATGAATAAGTGCGACGCCGAGTCTGAAACACAACAGTGGATCTTCCAGAAAGTCAACACTACCGTTCTGGACAAATTCAACAGCGGCGCCAGCTCATAGGACCTGGGGTTGTGGTCGAGCCAGTCAGCCGGCTTCCACACATACACACACCTCCCACAATCCTTAACGTGGGCCTGGATGTTGTTACTGTCTGGCTCTGGGTTCCTCTCAAGGTTCTGCAGCAGACTGAGCAAGAGCAGGCTCTTGAAAGAGGGGACTAGAAACGCAGAGAAACACAAGGCTGGTGGAAACGCATCCACAATGAGCACCTTGCTGGTCGAGGAGAATACAAACAGCCTGGACTCTCTAGTAGGGGTCTAGCTTGGGCCCCCAGTTGCTCCCTATACATTAAAAAAACAGTGCAGCTTTAGGACTTTGGAAGTGGAGTCCAGTGAAAGAATGTTCTGTATTAGTCCTTGAAGATTGCATGGGGGATTTGTACACAACCAGAAAGTTTGCTCTCAGATTTTTTCTTCTTTTTTTTTTCTTTAGTTTTTTTGTAAAGCTATTTATTTTTCTCTGGGATTGTTTCGACTATATTTATTTGTATTTATTTGGTGCCTTTTCCAGATTTAAGTTATGTGTATTGACTCGGTTTTATCATCTCTTGTACCTGTTAGAGTCAAACTTGGGATGAGGTGTTGGGTTGACCTTATTAAATGAGATCTTTGACTTTTTCAATGGAATCTATCTTGTTACAGAGTTTCTCGTCTATAAATAAAGCAGAAAATGAGTGGATGTGTGTCTCTTGCCTGTGTGGTCTGTCTTTGTAATACTGATAGAAAATCTCAAAAGTGGTGGTTTGGCTCCCTCTGGTGTTTTGTGTTCGGTATCACTCTTGCTTTTAAAACTATATTATTTCACCTGTCAATTCACTGAATCTTGAGTCACTCCTTCAGTTTTGATATTCCACTACTTGATAACAAAATCTGGTCTGCATATAGCTTTTGTTACCTGCGTTTTTGACTTACATGTTAATGACATTTTAGTGACAGCAGCAATTAATATTATAAATGTCCTTCCTGCAAGATAGATATGTGTCATTTCGTTGAATAAAGGACCGTTTATTATAGGTTTTGTAGCTTTTATGGTGTTTGGAAGCCTGTCTTACCCACTCAGTATGAATACAGACTAAATAGGTCTAGCAGATCATTTTTAAATATTGAATTTGTATATTTCCATAACATCAATAATCAGCAAATATGTACAGGTAAAGATTTAATACCACAGTAATCTTTTTGGTGTGGGGTTGCTGCAAGGTGCTTTAGATTATGTGGGGCCATAGTTGTCGCAAGTGCTATAGCCTACCTCAACTATTAATTAAGTTTATGGTTCAGACCTATTGCATGTGGATATCAAATAGCATACCCAAGTCTTTTTTGTGACTTTATTTTTGTAAATTCAAATACATACCATCACATTACATGATAAAACCACAACGACATAATTAAGACAAGAGCCAGCTACATAATGAATGAGATTTTAAATGAAAGGTTGAACTGTGTTTTTAGGGCAATGGCATTTTTCATGAATGTGAAGTAAGGGTAAGCTGTGACATGTTTTAGAAGTTGCAGTTTTATACAGTTTATTGATTAGCATTTCTGTTGGCCAGTAAATTTGTGGATATTCAAAACTTTTTGTGCTGTGTTTATGTAGCTAGTTGTGGGGACTGTTTTATTTATTTATTTCTGCTGACTGACAGAAGACTTATACTGACTTGCTGGATCAAATTCTGATACGAGGAGAGTAGGCTAAGTGCAAACGTGCCGCAAATATACAGTAAGTTATCTCTAGAGGGAAAACATTTCCATGTCTGTAAAACTGAGGTGTATGTTTCCATTCTTGAACACTAGGAGGAGCTTATCTCCTACAAATATGTTCTTATCTTACTGCAAGTGGTTTATCACTGATACAGTCAAGTTTAACGTTACAAGCAGAGTGAATTTCACAGTATTTGTTCTTTGTAGGTTTTTCTCTCTTCTCTTTCATTTTTATTTAAATTTATTTTGTTACAATATAGAGTGTGGTTTGTGAGTTGTCGTGGCCGAGTGGTTAAGGCGATGGATTAGAAATCCATTGGGGTCTCCCCGCGCAGGTTCGAATCCTGCCGACAACGAATCATTTATCATTTACTCGCCGCTGACTGTGTGCACTTTGGTGGTTTTAATGCAGTGCAAAACTTCGAGAATGGGTTGCCATACTTCGCTACACGTTTTGTACATGGACGTCGAGCTTCGAATCAAGAACTTCAGATATGTATTTTGCACTCTGGACTTAATTATTAACTAAAAATGTTTGTATGTGTGTATTTATCTTATGGTTTACCATGTCATGAATTTATACACAATCCTGTTGTTCAAAAGAATCTCTCTCACATGTCAATTATCTGAAGTTAATAAGGACATACTACTATAAACTTCCACTGATTTTACATGAAACAACTACACAGAGGCCTACATAAATAATATTAGAATGACTACAGATTAATGAAACTAAAATTACATTTCAAATTAGGATTTTTCCCCCCAATATAGGCTACTCTTATGTTCCCAAGTTTGAATTTGTTACAATGTTTAATATTTCTTTTAAAGGGGTTATATGATGTGATTTAAATTTCTCCTTTCTCTTTGGAGTGTTACAAGCTCTTGGTGCATAAAGAAGATCTGTAAAGTTGCAAAGACTAAAGTCTCAAATCCAAAGAGATGTTCTTTATAAAAGTTAAGAGTCAACCACTCCTACCTAAAACGGCTCGTTCTAACACGCCCCCACATGTCTACGTCACGATGTGGGAAGATTTGCATAACGCCACCCAAATGTTCACGCAAAGAAAGAAGGCGTAACTTTTATTCTCGCTGTAGTATTTTTGTTGCCGCCGCCATGTCGTGAAGGCGCTGTGTTTCGTTGTGAAAGCGAAACTACTTCGTTTGGCCTTCCAAAAGAGGATGATATGGCTTCGTCATGCCTGGAGCTGACCCGTGCTGGTCACTGAGGAAATACAACAACTTCACGCTGTGGATCGCCGGATCGGCTTTCACCGTGGACGAAGCGTCCAGCCCGGGGTCGTCATATGTGGTTGCCGCAAGCCCTCCGGACGCTCCTTCATCGAATCCGCCGGCCGCGCCGTTCTCAAGCCCACCGCCTCTGCTCACTCCAGCCCGCCCGCCGTTCCTCACTCTAGCCCCCCGGCCTCTGCTCACTGTAGGCCGCCGCCACTCACTCAAGGCCACCGTGTGTGATGCTGTGTTTCATTGTGAAAGTGAAACTACTTTGTTTGGTCATCCAAAAATGGACACGACTAGAAATCAGTGGTTAAGTTGTATTTACAACACTGTTCCAGAACACTTCAACCCAAATATTCAGATGTGTGCAGCACATTTTATGGAGGTCTGCTTCCTGATCCTGGTAGAGTAGACTACAATGCCGGCTGTTCTGACTCACATACTGTAAGTAAGTTTTTTATATTTAAAGAGTTTTTATATTTTATATTTTTTATATTTAAAGTGAGTGTAGAGTAGGGCTTGTTGTTTGTCATTTCTCCGATCACAAATGCAGACATGGTTTTATGTTTACACGGCGCGATGCAACGCAACGCGTAAAAAGACAGTATAAGTCATTATAATCCATAATTATGTCCCCACTGAATGCAACGAATGCCGCGTTTATAATGGGTTTTCATGTTTTTGAATCATCGCTCCGGCCTGACAGGGCATCATCACAGTATGGTGAGGGGTGTAACATTTCCGTCACACGCTTGAGGTATTCGGCCAATCATAGCGCACTGGATAGCTGGCCAATCACAGCACACCTTGCTTTTTCAGACTGATGAGCTTTGTAAAAATCGATGCGTTTCAGAAAGACGGGGCATAGAGGAGAAACAATAATGTACAGTATGTGGAAAATAATGTTTTTTTTACCTTAAACCGCATAAACACATTTTATTACACCAAATACACCAAATAATGTTCTTTTTAGCAACATCATATGACCCCTTTAAAAAATATTATTTTACTTTAAAGTTTAAATCTAATGCTCGCTAGACCAACTGTAATATTGAGAAATATTGTTGCAATTTAAAATAACTATTTTCTGTCAGTCTAATATGTTGATTTGCTGCTCAAGAACCAGCGTTGAAACAATTATGCGGCTTAATATTTTTGAGGAAACCATTATGCGGTCAGCTGGTGTAGTTACAGCACAGTTAACAAGGGTGATGCTAGCAAACCTTAACTGTGGTTTGTGATGGATCCATTCAGAGCACATAACCACAGACAATACACACTTTAGTACAGAGCATGAATGGCAGATGTTGTATTTTAATAACTGCACCCTAAACTCAAACAGAGTTTAAGCCGTCATAGTGAAAATGGAAAACACGCTAAGAATCTAACAGGCAGTTGTATGCCCTAAGCAAATTAGGGAAAGGTAGGGCGACCAGATGTCCCGGTTTAAACAGTTTTAGGACTTTCAGGAGGTGTGTCTCGGTGCAGTGTCTCAGGTTTCCATAACAATAAATAACAATAAGTAACTGTCAAGCAGTTTCAGGAGAGAGAATTTCTCTTAAGCAATTTCCACTTTAACATGGCATTTCTAGTGTAGGCTATATAAATAAAATAAATAAATTGATTAAATAAATTTGTTTTATTTTAGAAATTATTATGATATCTTCATCTAGTTGACATGTAAATGTGTAGTCGACATTATGCATGAGTCATGACAGCCCATATCATTATTTTAAGCCTGACACGATAAATGAGAGGATGCATGTAATTTGCTATTTTAAAAAATGTATTTGTTCTTTAGATTCTTATAGGTGACTAGCAAAAATCCAGTTCAAAATTTGAGAAACATGAAATAAAAAGTGATATACATTTTTGCATTAGACGGGAGCTTAGCCAGAAACCAATTTGCTGTGGGAAAGGTGTGCAACATGACGATTTCTCTAGTTTAATACACATGTAAGAGCTAATTTGGCGCCATCTTGTGACTGAAAACGATTACTACGACTACCCATATGGCTTGAATAGCATTATTATTGTCAGTGAGCATAAAATGATTAATAGAGGGATACAAATCCTAAAGAATCGCCATGTAAAGCAGGAAAAAGAAAACATCACTAAGAACAAAAGACTTGAAAGAGACAGAAAAAAACTGGATGACAGTAAACTAAAAGGGATTTTTCACCAACAAAACTAATTCATTTTAACCCTCATGTTGTTCCAAATGTATGCATTTCTTTGTTTTGCGGGACATGAAGATATCCTGACGAATGTTGGTAACCAAATAGTTTTGGTGATATATTAACTTTACAGACTGAGACATTTTTTAAAATAACTTTATTTTCCCCATACAGTGAGTGAACGAGATGTGAGTGTATTCAGTGCATCCAGAAAGTATTCACAGCGCTTCACTTTTTCCACATTTTGTTATGTTACA